AAAATAAAAAAGGGATTATATGTGTATGTGCATTCATACCCACAATTACTAGTACAGAGCTGTGCAAACCCTATTCATATAATTAATTAGTTTGAGGCAAGCAACAGAGATAGGGTTCCATTCTTTATCAATAATGTGTGTTAGTTTAAAAAAATGAATGAAGAAAAAGTGGTGCAATTTCATTTTTCTTTGTGACTTTATTTGTGGTGTTCCTGAGGTGATTTGCTGTTATTTGCAATGGAGCTGTGGTTCTTGTGTCTGAGTTCACATTTTGGAAAAGAAGTTAGTATTACCATTATTGATATGAGTGTCCATCTGCTTCATGTTTCATATGCAAAAGGAACCAAAGTGAAAATAATAAAACAAATAAGGAGACATTCTCTCTAAGTCATGACTACATTGTTCACTAATATTTGAGAATAAATGTTCATATATTAGCAATGAATCTGAATGCATGACTGATTTGTAAACAGAAACATTTTGCTGAATAGATGTGACAGTAACCTAAGCTGTCATATCCCTGATGGGCAGAAATACCAGAAATGACCCTGGAATGGCATTGAGCTCTTCAGCCTTTCAAACACTGAAGTTTACACTGATGAATCATTTGGGCTGATAAATCATTTGGGCTGAATATCAAGCTGAAGCTGAACTTCTCAGAATGATTTTTTAAAATCTTTTACAAGATATTCATATTTGAGAAACAGTTGTTCATACACTAAAAGGGTGACCTTAAATGCCATGTATGTAAACAGCGGTGCTGGGCCAGTGCTCTGAATGACAGGAAGGTGAGGAGAGGGATCTCAGGAAGATATTTTGTGTAAAGGCAGAGAGCTGGCATGAACTCAATAATGTGGAGAAAGGAAAGAGTGCTCAGACATAGTTCATACCGGGGCAGGTCACTGGACCCAGAGATGCCATTCAAGGTGGCTGATGTAGTATCTTCAGCCAATTCACTATGTTGGGGAATTGTGTCTGCAAGTAGGAGCCATTTTCAGTAGTTCAATAGGAAGATTCAGCACCAAAGCTTGCCAAGAAATCTTGGGTTGCTATAAGAAGGTATCACTGGAGAGTTGATAAAAAAAAAGTGCCCGTTAGTGTTGAAGTAGTTTTGGCACCAAGTATTCTAAATAATTAAAGCATTGCATCAGGCTTGGAGACCATGAGTCCATGTTGGAAGGAGATAGTGACTACAGTTGGCCATGTACCACAGGGAATATACTTTTCCTTCCCTGTTTTGTGAACCCAAGGCAGGGCTACAGTCCAGCTGTCTGTAACTAAGAATGATCTGAACAATACATCACCATCATTGCCTCAATATAGCTCATGAACCCAAGGAGTTACACCTCAGAGAAACACTTGGCACATGTGTGTAAAAGTGTATACATAAGCTAACAAGTCACATTGGATTTTTTAAAAAATTAAAGACTTATTATTTAGAACATTTTTTTTGTTTCATAGCAACAGTGAGTGGAAGGTACAGAGAATATCCATATACCTTGTGTATATGTAGCCTCATATACACATGCACAGCCTTCCCCCGTTATCAATGTCCTCTACCAGAGCACTGCATTTGTTACCCTTGGTGAACCTACATTGGCACATGGTAATCACCCAAGTCCACAGTTCACCTTACGGTTCTCTCTTGGTGGTGTGCATTCTGTGAGTTTGAACAAATGTATGATGACATGAATCCATCATGATAGTATTCTACAGAGTAGTTTTACTGCCTTAATAATCCTCTGTGCTCCCTTATTCCTCTACTCACCCTATCCTGTCGATCTTCATATTGAATTATTAAATTATAAAACAAGATTAAGGTAAATCTATCTTTAATCAGGACATCTTTTTGAGCTGTTCACTTTTAAGGAATTTCTTGTCTGCTGAAGGACATGCAGACTCAAGATTCTGGAGGTTCATCTATTTATGGAGGTCTGCAACAAATCAGTAAGAGAGTAGAGATGATACATCTCATGATTATTTTCCAAAAAGAAGATCTTGTTTTACTTGGTAGGCTTTTGAGCCCAGGCTAAATTCTGGAGACCACAGAACTTTAGGATATCACGCAATATTCTAAGGTGCTTTACTGTCCTGCCTCTCTGAACATCCACAAGTCACAATTAATATAGGTATGTGGACTTAGATGGAAACATTTTTATAAATATGTTTCTTATTAATAGGATCATAATCACATAACTCAGATTTAAATTTCTAGCTCAAATATTTTAATAATATTTAATATATAAGGGAAAGTCTGCTTCAAAGACTTTCTTCCTTCACAGAACACCTGCCTATTTAAGTGTGCAATTTTTTTCTCCAAATATGATACAGATAAGTTGGGTAAGAATTGAACCTCAGGTTTCAGGCACCACACTGCCTTCCTTGGATTATACTTGCAAATAAATGAGAGGAAATAGAAACGTTTTTTTTTTCTCCAAATGCTGGAAGGTCGTCTTAGGGCCCTGGATGGGAGCAAAGTAGTTTCTTGCTGATGTACTTCCTCTTCTACCAAAGACACTTCTATTTCTTCTTCCTGTTTTTTCTTTATCACCTTCAATCATCCTTTGTATTGGGCTCCTATCGCCTGATATGTTTGGTCATCCTGAGGCACCTAATACCTCACAAACATTGTTTGCATTTGGTTACTGAGGTTGAGGAGGGTTGATTTCCTCTTCTGTAGTCTAAATAGATAAACCCCAGTTAAGTTTACTACAACATGTAGGATGTTTCTGATTAGTGAAGGAAGGGGACTCTAGGGAATGCCACTCTCCAGGATGCTAATATTGTATGTCATTATGCCTTAAAATTTTCCCTTGGGAATGCAGAAAGGGATTTTACCCCTTGTATATCATGGAAAGCTGCTTCTAAAGAGGGCTAAAAACGCTTGACACCAATTTAGAATGTTGTCACAGGTAAGTGACAGATTGATATCTTTGAACTCAGAAATGTATTATTACAAACTAATCCAACATGGTTTAAAAGTACATTTCTGTATGTCTTATACTGTACCTACTTTCTCTGAGAGATGAACAGAAAAAATGATTTTAGAAGTTTACTGTTCATGTAGTAAACAGGTAGAATGGAAATCAGCTTTGGAATAAAACAATCTTTTGAATTCAACAAATATTTTATGAGCTCCAGATAAGTGATAAGCCATCCTTGTGTAGGGAGAGAAAAATGAATTCCATGTTCTAAAGTTTCTTGAGGTGGCAGAGTGCAGACAAGTTCTCAAATGCTTTTCATGTGTGATAGCTGAGCAAGATGCATCCTCATTATGTGTGTTAAAAGTTAGAAAAGAATACATCTAGTTAGAAGTTGGAGAAACTGTTAATAAAGGAGTGACAGCTTTAAGTGGAATGTTGTATAGCACAGTTTCAAATGATTACTGTTTGCATGTTGCTAGAATGGTATAATAAGAACACAATTTGCAGTCAAAACACATCTGAGATAAAGTCTGAAAGGCTGAATAACTACTTCTCGTGGAAAGTTTAGAGAAACCATGACAATGTGAAGGTGAAAAACTACAATGAAAGGGAAAGGTAATGTGTCATGTGCATGAGAGGGAGTTTTTATGTTCTTTAATTTGGGCTTTTGAGGGATGAAGAATTGTGATACAATCTATTAGCTTTCCAGCAGAGAGTGGTAAATTTTGCATAGACATGAAATGAGTATAGGGAGTTTCCCAGAGGTAGAAGTGTAGTAGAACTGAGTCAGCGAGGGTTGGGTAGTTGAAGAGGAAAATGCTGATTCTCACTGTGGCCTGTGCAACAAAAGCGACTTTTAGGATGGGAAGGCATGCCTACCCTCCGTATTCCACCCTCATCTATTCTCTCACCTATTCCCCACTGTCGGCTTTCCTTTCAGCTCATTCCTGTTACCTCCCAACCCAACATGTCATCTGTTCGCTATAGTTTTGACAAATCCAGCTACTCTAAAGTTGGCCAAACTTGCTGGGGAAGTTGAGGTATGTTATTAGAAGAAGCACTATTTTACTAATGCTGTTTCATATCTGATCATTGTTGCCCATTTTTTGGGACAAATTGCTTTGAGAACCCCATGACAAAAGGTGTTAATGCACCTCTGGGAAAAGTGAATGTGATCATCCACAAAGACATGCACTAAACCCTGCATCAGGATCAGAGGACATGAACACTGTCAAAGCTCTCCTTGCATTCTTTAAAGGCCAAGGATTCATGTAAAAAGTGTCAAATGTGTGACATAATCATTTCTCTGGGTGGCAGCGTTCCCCAGTCTTCCATGGCCATACAGAGTGCAACACCTGCTCCAGCTTGTGAAGCTGATTAACTCACTTATTTAAAAATTGATCTCAGAATATTTTTCCTGGATTTATACATTGGGATCATGTTTATCTCTTTAGCATACATAATAGATGGAAGGTCACTGTAGGTTAATGATCTGAATGTGTTCAGTAATCAGAATAGTACTGACATATCATATAAATGTGATATTGTAAAAGGTGCTAGAGAATGTTCACTTTAAAAATACTTGAAGTGCCTACAGTGTACAAGACATTGAGTTTGGAACTATGGAGAAGCAAATCCCAGGAATGTAGTTTCTAAAGATTCTTATTTTTAAAAAGGAAGCTGAAGGAATCACACATATAATTAAATTTTAGTATGTACTATTATAAGAAAAGCTACAAAAGGAGCTTTTAGAGAAGAGGAGAGAGAATTTCCTTTATCACAAAGTGGTCACCAAAGGCTCCCAGAGAAGAGTTGTATTTGAAGAGCACTGTAGAAAAGTATAAATTTCACAAGCTTATTTGAGACTCATAGGGCCCTATGAAGTGGTCATTACAAGTTCAAAGACAAAATGCTGAGATGACACATTAAGAAACCACAACCAAAATGCCTATGTTGAGGAATATTTATTTTTCTTAAGATATGTCATAAAATCACCTATTGCACCATGAATTACTTCCTTCATTTTTTTGCAGATAAACAACTTCACACTCACCCCTCATCCTCATTCGTGAAATTATGCAGCTGAATAACAATGTGACTGAATTCATTCTGCTTGGGTTGACCCAGGATCCTGTTAGGAAGAAAATAGTGTTTGTCACTTTCTTGCTTTTCTATTTGGGGACATTGCTGGGTAACTTTCTGATTCTGGCTACTATCAAGACCAGCCGGGCACTTGGGAGTCCAATGTATTTCTTCCTTTTCCACTTGTCTTTATCAGATACCTGCTTCTCTACTTCCATAGCCCCAAGAATGATAGTGGACACCCTTTTGAAGGACGCCACAATCTCTTTCAGTGAGTGCCTAATCCAAGTCTTTTCATTCCATTTCTTTGGCTGTCTGGAGATCTTCATCCTGATACTCATGGCTGTTGACCGCTACGTGGCCATCTGTAAGCCCCTGCACTACATGACCATCATGAGTCGACAGGTCTGTGGTGTGTTGGTGGCTATGGCCTGGGTGGGGTCGTGTGTGCATTCTTTAGCTCAGATTTTTCTGGCCTTGAGTTTACCTTTCTGTGGTCCCAATGTGATCGATCACTATTTTTGTGACTTGCAGCCCTTGTTGCAGCTTGCTTGTACAGACACCTACATGATCAATCTGCTCCTGGTGTCCAACAGTGGGGCCATTTGTACAGTGAGTTTTGTCACGCTGATGTTCTCCTACATTTTCATCTTGCATTCTCTGAGAAACCACAGTGCTGAAGGGAGGAGAAAAGCTCTCTCTACCTGCATCTCCCATATCATTGTGGTAGTCTTGTTCTTTGGTCCTTGCATATTTATATACACCCGCCCTGCAACCACCTTCTCTGTGGATAAGTTGGTGGCTATATTTTATACACTTGGAACACCTTTGCTCAACCCTTTGATTTATACGCTGCGAAACGCAGAAGTGAAAAATGCCATGAGGAAGTTCTGGAGCAAGGCACTGGTCTCTGATGACAGACTATGAATGGATATTTCAAATTGTTCTTCAGAGTTTGGACTGATCTAGAAGAAGACCATAGAGGATATTATCTTCTTATTGTGCAGTTAATTTAATCCTAACTCGGGAAATGAGAATTAGTTTCTTCAGGAAAATAGGCAATGCAAACACACATATGGAGTGATATTGAGTCAATTTTAACATACCTTTTTTATGTATTGATTTTGTGAGAGGGAGAGGGAGAGGGGGAGAGAGAGAGAGAGAGAGAGAGAGAGAGAGAGAGAGAGAGAGAGAGAGAGAGGACTGGGAATAGAAACTACAGTCTTGGCATATTAGACAATCCTCTAAGCAACTGAACTGTACAGCCAGGGCTAGAGTCCATTTAAAAAAGAAGATACAGCCTAGGTACAAACAGCCATCGATGTTCACTGCTGTGTATCAGCCATTCTTGCCTGACTACTAGCATTGTGACTTTGATCTGGTGCTTTCTTTGACTGCTTCATGTTGACTTGCAGTGTTCTCTGTTTATACTTATACTTTATATATGTATATCAACAGTCTGGCAAGATTCTCTTCCTAGCAGCTTATTTATTCTACACTGTTCTTTTAGTATCTGAACATGGACTTTCAACTTGATTGTTCTTCCTGACTCACAAGGAGGTGCCAGATTAAAATAATAGTAGGATGTTTATGTTTTAAGGGACAATGTATATAATCTAGATACTATCCCTTCTGTTTCTTGGGATTATATTTTGAATTTTTCTCATGTTTACCTAGATCCTTCTAGAATAATGACAGAATAAAATGAGAAAATTCACATTTCTGAAGGAGTCTTTAAAAAAAATGTTTTTAGAGAGAGAGGGGAATGAGAAAGAGAGAGAGAGACCAGATTTTTGTTCCATCTATTTATGCATTCATTGATTGATTCTTTTATGTACCCAGAACAGGGATTTAACCTAAAACCTTGGTGTATTGGAGGGATGCTCTAACTAACCAAGCTACCAAGCCAGGGCTGAAGGCGACTTTTTATCTTAGAAAACTTTTGGCTATTGAGATTGTACTCATTATTCTTTTTGTAAAAACTACTTTTTTTCTTCTAAAGAAATTCCCCTTAGAATTTTGGGGAAATAGTAGGTTTTCTCTTGAATCATAGCAATAAAAATAATTTATGTTTAGCATTGAGTTCTTACAATTGTCACAAAGATGGCCCAAACTACGGTAGACATATTCATGTGGGCTAGAAGTAAAGGTACAGTTGTTAATGATAGGGAGTTTAAAAACAATAACCAATTAATGTGAAAATATTTACCCTCTGATAATCACCACCATACTGTTGTGTCTATGAGTTGTTTTTTTCTTTGCTGACTTCATTCATTTGGAAAAAATTCTAAAGGTACTTTCTGAAATTGTCACCCAGATGTCCAGTATTTAATATTATGAGCTCATTGAAGTCTGACGATGTTGCTCAACTTTTGGGATTTAGCACAAAATTAGTCACTGGGAAGATCTGAAAATGATACTGACTTCACTGCTTTTGAAGAAGAAATATCTCAAAGATTTAAAAATCACTCTTATGTATAATTCTGAATGTGCATGCCAAAATTTTTCTTAAAAAGGATGTTTCATCTTTTAAGAATTTCTTCTGTTGTTCATGGTATATGTGAGACTTCGGGATTTACCATGATTGCAACTGATTGATTATTTGTGCTATTATTGTTACAGTCTGTTTTTCCTAATGAACAGTCCCCTTCTTATGGATAGTGATTGTATGTATTTTGTAACTGCTTATCCCTAGCACTGATTATTGTTATTGTATTAGTATCACAACAAACAATGTAAATTTATTCAATAAATCAGAGACTTTCAAAATAAATTACCAATTTCAACAAGTTGAGTTTTTAGGTATATTAATTTCCCCCCTGCCAATGATCAAACCAACAGCAACCATGGGATATGACAACAAGCACAGGATTTTTCCTCCCGAAAGCATTTAGTCATGAGGATGCAAAGGTCGCCTGCTTTGTGGTCCTCTTGCTGTGCTAGATTATAATTCTGTCAGGAATCCTGCTCACTCTTTCCACCACCAGGGGCAGTTGCTTCAGTGAAAAGCCCCTTGTACAACACAGTTTGCTCAGCTACCTCTCCTTTATGGGTATCTGCTTCACCTCTACATTGTCCCCCAAACTGATCCCAGACTTACTGGCCCCATGGAAGACTATCCCCCATGACAGCTGCATGGCCCAGATGTTTTATGTGTACTTCTTTGGTGCCACTGAGACCTTCATGTGGTGGTCATGACATATGGTCACTATGCAGCCATCTGCAGACCCCTTCACTCTATGGTCATCATGAGCAGACAGGTGTGGTATGTCCTGTGATGGCTTAATTTTTGAGGCATTTATCCATCCACCCTCCATGTTCTGATTATTAGCGAACTTCCCTTAGTGGCTCTAAACAGATAGACCACCATTTCTTTGACGTGTTCTCCCTGATGAAGCTGGCCTGAACCAGCACCAGCCTGGTGGTTATTGCAGTCACCACCACCACCAGGGTGCTGTCCATTCTGACCTTTGCTATCTTGGTAATTTCTTACTTCATCATCCTGTCCACCCCCAGGACACGCTCCTCTGAGAGCTGCTGCAAAGCCCTTTCCACCTGTGGCTCACACATCACTGTTGTGTTCATGTTCTTGACTCTCATCTTCACTTAAGTCCCCATGGTCTATTCTGTCAGTAACAACAAGGCTTTCGCCCTGTTTTACACCATGATTTCCCCCCATGTTCAACTCTCCCTTCTGCAAACTGAGAAACACAGACATGAAGAATGCCATGAGGAAAGGTGATGTTTGATATGGATTATATGAAGGAAAGTGAAGCCTCTGGTGTGTGACCCTTTGTAGGTCTCCTTCTACACACAGAATTGTTAATGTTGACAGGTATAACAGCAGGGACAGAGAGTGATGTGTTGTCAGCAAAAGCTGCAAGTGTAAAGAGAGAAGGCCTTCAGTCACTCAATTCCTCTCCCTTTACCTGCCTAGGTCTCTATACAATGGGAGTTGGTCAAACAATCTCCAGGGCTCCTCAAGCTCTAACATTCAGTAACTTATGCCTGAGATTCTGGAATACTCTGCATATTATAATCCCAGACATAGGTGAGCCCTATAAGCACTTTTGTCAGGGCAAATCATAAAGACAGCATGGTCTGGCAGTTGTGCCCTGCTTTAGGAAACAGATATCTTGACTGACATGCCTCTCAGATAGACAGAGAGGTTCTAAGCACTTCCATTGTTTTGAGGTTTCCATTGCAATAAAAAAATAAAGCAATGCCAAAATATATACTAGTATTTGATATTGGAACTCTTTACATTAACAAATCATACATCTAAAACATTGCAATGGTGGTGTAATTATACTATTTGCACTATACTTATGGAAGTTATCATGATTAAGCCTTAGTACCCTATCAATAGTATATCCTGTCATTATAAGTTTCAAATGGGATGATGAACCACTTTTTATTCAATGATAGAAATTTAATTTTATGACTGCATTTATAATCCAATCTTTAAATTGTCCAAGAGTGAACAAACTAATGGTTTTTATAAATGTGCAACATAGGAGATGTCCCTTCCTGTGTAAGGCCCTGATTTAAGAAGGGGTAATGCTAAAGAGATAGATGTTCTCAGGTTCATTTTTCTAATCTTCAGTGCTCCTTATGCAAAAGGCATATGTTGACGTTTCTTTAACACTGTGCACATCTGTCTAATTTCCACGCAGGTAGGCCCTGACATTAGGGAGAAATAAAGAAGATTGAACTAAGAAGCAGAGATAACCAATTGAAAACAGGCCTAGGACAAGGTAATCTTTGGTACATTGAGGTTTTTCTTTAATTTATACCAGAATCCTATAGCTTTACAAATTACAAGGGACTTCTGACATTCTCTAGGGTCATTCATTAGCACAATGTACACCTGAGGAACAGAGGCTGAGAGGGTGGGGAACCCAATATATCAAATATGAGAGACATGGACCTGATATTTTCTGGTGCTCATTCTGTTTATCTCAGTTTCCATTAAGAAATTGTATTGTATATACCTTTTTTAAAAAGATTTTTTACTTACTCATTTTTAGAGATATGGGAAGGGAAGGAGAAAGAGAAAGAGAGAAATATCAATGTGTCATTGCCTCTCACACTCCCTCTACTAGGGACCTGGCTTGCAACCCAGGAATATGCTCTGATGGGCATTTGAACTGGTGACCCTTTGGTTTGCAGGCTGGCACTTAACCCATTGAGGCACACCAGGCAGGGCAAAATTGTATTGTATAAACTTAATGAACCATTGTGCCTTGTGTAACTGAAATCCAAGTTTTCAGGTGAGAATTACATTTGCAGAGATTAGCCCTAGGTTGATAAATATTTTTAACAATAGTTTATCTCTTGCAAAGAAACATAGGTACTACCTGAAAAAGTAGAGAGGTTAGAGCAAGGGGAGGCAGAAAAGTAATGAAGTATATTGAAAGGGTGATGAAGACAAAGGCTGATCAAATCAGGGGTTAGTTTTGATGGTGACCTTAGTATGTTTCCTCCTGGGGAGATCACCCAACCCTGGAAGGTGAAGATGAACAGAAACGTCTGTAGCTGTATGGGCAGTATCTAGTTCTGGTGTTTATTTTAATAAGCCTGTCTTTGTAACAAGGCCCTGTGATCATTTTTATGCAGTCCATGGCACATTGGGCATTTAGATTTGGAAACATTGAGACTAGATAATACTGGATGTTCTTAGAACACAAGAGGTCTATGAGTCAATGAAATGCAAAGAGCTGTACCTTTGGATAGACAAGTTCTGTCCAGGTGGCATCCAGCCATGTAATATGCCAAATGGAGACATTTATTGAAGAAGATACAAGATACAGGAAACATTGTACATGGGACAATGATACCTCAGTCCCCTTCAAAGTAGGCACCATGGGATCCCACACAGTTCTCCCAATTGCCATCAGCTGTCCTGTGGTAGTTTCCTGAACTCA